AGAGAAAATATTTTCTAATATATGTGCACTATTTTTATCAAAATCTATGCAATGCATTAAAGGACTAGTCTAATAGACCTAAAAATTTTAGGAAAAACTTCAATTAGACCCAAATAGACATATATCACTGATTTTTATTCAAAATATTTTGATATTTTTATGAATTATTAACTTTTGAACCTTGTGTCATTTTTCATTTTTGGTTAACTTTTTTCTCGTTTTTATATAATATCATGGATCTATATAATGTTTTTTGATATTTAAGCATCTAAATTGGTCCAAAATATCTTATAAAAGTTTGGTTCAAAGAAAATATTTCCTAATGTGTGATGCATTATTTTTGCCCAAAATCCAAAAATCATTGCATAGGACTGGTCTAATAGACCTAAAAATTTTAGGAAAGACTTCTATTGGATCCAAATGGACATTTCACTGGTTTTTTATTTTAGAAAATTTATTTGATATTTTTATCAATTATTTAGCTTGTGAACTATGTATCATTTTTTTATTTTTGACCAGCTTTTTCTCATTTCCACATTATATCATAGATCCATGTAATATTTTTTGACATTTGGGCTTCTAAATTGGTCCAAAACATCTGTTAAAAAATTAGTAAAAAAATGTTTTCTAATATACAATGTATAATTTTTGTCCAAAATCTAAAAAATAGTGCATCGTATCGAAGGATTAGTCTAAATGATCTAAAAATTTTGGGATTGATTTGAATTAGACTCAGATGGGCATATGTCACTAATTTTCCATTTAAAATTATTTTCGAGATTTTTATAAATTGTTCAACTTGTAAACTTTGTGTCATTTTTTATTTTTAGGCAACTTTTTCCTATTTCCACATAAATATTTTGGATCCATAAAATATTTTTTTATCATTTGAGATTCTAAATTAGTCCAAAAAACCTATCAAAAGTTTGGATTGGAGAAAATATTTTCTAATATGTAATGCATTATTTTTGCTCAAAAATTAAAAAAAGAGTGCATCACATTGAAGGATTGGTCCAAATGATCTAAAAACTTTAAGACAGGTTTAAATTGGACTTAGATAGATATATGTATAAAAATATTAAAAAATTCTTTAAAATGAGAAAATAGTTACATATTTCTAACTGAGTCCAATTCAAATATTTTCTAAAATTTTTAGATTATTTGGATCAATCCTTTAATGTGATGCACTATTTTTGGATTTTAGACAAAATTAGTGCATCATATATTAAAAAATATTTTATCAAACCCAATTTTTTTTATGTGTTTTGGACCAATTTAGAATCTCAAATGTCAAAAAATCATAGTATGGATCCATGATATTTCTATGAAAATAAAAAAAATCAAAAATAAAAAAGACACATAGTTTATAAGTTAATAATTCATAAAAATATCAAAAAAATTAAAATAGAAAACTATGTAAACTGTGTGCCATTTTCTATTTTTGGCCAGTTTTTCCATTTCCATAGAAATATCATAGATCCATATAATGTTTTTTTGACCTTTGAGCTTTTAAATTAGTCTAAAATACTTGATAAAAATTTGGGTTAAAGAAAATATTTTCTAATATGCGATGCACTATTTTTGCCTAAAAACAAAAAAAATAGTGTAATGCATAGAAGGACTAGTCCAATAGACTTAAAAATTTTAGGAAATGCTTCATTTGAACCCAAATGGACATATGCCATTGGTTTTCTATTTTAAGAAATTTTTATATTTTATAAATTATTCAGCTTATGAACTATGTGTTATTTTTTATTTTTGGATTTTGTTTCTTATTTGCATAGAATATCATAGATCCATGTAATTTTTTTTGACATTTGAGCTTCCATATTTGTTCAAAATATATGATAAAAATTTGAGTCAAAGAAAATATTTTTTAATATGTGATATATTATTTTTGCTCAAAATCCAAAAATAATGCATCAGGAAGGATTGATTCAATAGACCTAAAAATTTTAGAAGGCTTTAATTAGACCTTAATGGGCATATGTCACTAGTTTTCTAATTAAAAAAAAAATTATTCTATATTTTTATGAATTATTCAACTTGTGAACTATATGTTGTCTTTTATTTTTTACTTATTTTTTTCATTTCTATAGAAATATCATGGTTCTATGTAATTTTTTTTATACTTAAGCTTCTAAATTGATTGAAAACACTTGGTAAAAATTTGGGTAAGAGAAAACTTTTCCTAATATGCATGTACTATTTTCTTTCCAAAATCAAAAGATAGTGCATCGTATTAAAGGACCGGTCGAAATACCTTGAAATTTTTAGGAAAGATTTGAATTAGACTCGAATGGATATATGTCACTAGTTTTTTATTTTATAAATTTTTTGATATTTTTTGAATTATCCAGCTTGTGAATCGTGTGCCATTTTTATTTTTGACCTTTTTTTTTCTTCTTTATATCTTCCTAGAAATATCATGGATCCATGCAATGTTTTTTAACATTTAGCTTGTAAATTAATCCAAAATATCTTGTAAAAATTTAGATAGGAGAACTCAACCCCAAAAGTCAATCTCAAATTTATTAAAATTTTTCAACATGTAAAATAAAATATGTATTATAAATAGTAAATCTACTGAAACTACGCTTTGCATCGACTTTGAATATAAATATATAGGTCACTTAAAATAAGTTTTCACTAAGCCTATTTGAAATTACAATTTAATCTTTAATAAGCTGCTACAATTCCTATCTAAATGTCATTTCTCACACAAGCTGATGATATAGGTGGAAATTTATATAATCGATGATTATGTCTAAATTATTGATATTTGAATATTTTTTTTTTGTTATTATGCGTTGATGAACATCCTTCGGTAATGAATTTATACTTTCTAATTCATTTGTGGTGATCATTGTGTTACGACGGTTAGGAAAATAGGCATAAGCCTATTTCTCCATCTCAATTTCATATATATATAAATATATATATATATATATGTATATGTATATATATATATGTATATGTATATGTATATGTATATATACATATGTATATATATACATATACATATATATATATATGTATATATATATATATGTATATATATATTTATATATATATATGAAACTTTCTATGTTGTTTATTAACTTATGCATGTATTCATTAAGTTTGTATCTAGTAGTGGATCTAGCAATAGCTCAAAATAGATTTGTAACCTTTTTATCTCACATATCACTGATAATCATGATATTCTATTAGGAAGATCTCTTTCACAACTAAAAGAATTATTAGATTTTGGTCATTAACAATAGTTAAATTTTTGAATCACATAATACATATTCTCAATTGATACTAGAACCACTCTCGTGTATCCCTATACTCAAATCTTTGTCACAACAAATACAATTAGAAATAATCTATTATAACCATCAATAGCTATAGCCATCAAAACATCGAGATATTTGCTTAATAGATGTACAATATCGATATAAAAAATAAGTTGCATATATAATTTAAAACTTCTAAGATAAACTTCGAAAGCCCAAAATATTATTTGAAAATAATTTTCTAATGAAACTACCATTTGAACATATAAGTCTCATAATCATGCAGTTTTAACTTTCTTAAAAATAAAATTATATTAATATATAACTAGTCGAAGTCATCATAAACCCCACTAAGTATAATCTCCCATGCAAAATATGTCAATAATAATTCTAAATCTTTTTTGAATATCAATAATAATCATCTTTGGAGTATAATCAATATTTGTCATCACTTGATCTTTGATTTAATTTACAGTAAAAGAACTATTACCTTTCTTATGATCCTTATTCAATCCTAGCAAATTATAATCATGCTCTTTGTGAAACTTAGTAATTCGAAAACCATATATTCATCCATTTATAATAAAAAACTTTACATTTTGCTTTTATCTTATAATTTCTAGTTGCAACATATTTAATCTTAAATTTTCATGGAATGATAGTCTTTCAATGATATTTGAAATTCAACTCTATTTCGAAACACCTATACAAAAATATTATTTTGGTTACAAAATAATATATGCAATATGACATATATCATCTTCAAAGAAACTAACACATCATCATTTTGATTATAATCGTATTCAATAAGTACTTGTTTAATATTATCATACATATCCTGATTTAAAATAACTCGTTAACCAACAATATTTAATATATCATAAATATTATAGTTTATATCATCTTCAACCTCTTCTTATAATTTTTTTCAACTAATTCATCTTCGAAGACATCATTATCATTACCGTCTTCGTTACAATAAAATGGGTCATTTAAATCTATGGAAAGAGTTTCAAAACTTAAGCTATTTGGCAAATGATCTTTACCCAAACATCATAATGTCTCACCTAATGTTTGTCTAATAATTTTTCAAAATCAATGAACTAATATAACAGTAAAATGAGTTATATAACACATTGGCTTCCATGAAAGTATAATACGAAACAAATATTTTTTTCAAAAACATCAATATACTTGCATGATGTTTTTTATATTGATTCAAGAAGAAAGAAAAAGAGAAAAAAAAAGAAGTTTTGTTTTACTTCTTAGTACCCAGCAGCTTACTGTATACTGAACCATCCATTTTGTACGTCTCCTAAACAGAGTTAAAATGTTAAATCAGTAGTAGTGAATCGTCTCAATCCGAATCGATCAATAAAACCTTACTAAATCGATGCTCCAAAAGCCATTGTTCTTAGTGGAAAAACAATGACTTAGCTATGCAAGGATAAATGAATAAAATATAAAGCATGTTGCTAGGAAAAGAATTTTTTTTTTTTTGTTTCTAAGAATTCAAAGTAGAAACGTTGTAGCAAAAAAAAAAAAAAAAAAAACCAAAGTTAACATTTTTCTCTCTCTAAGAATTCGTTTATTAATTAATATTTTTTTTAATCTTTCACTAAAAGTTCTTATGCATTAATTTTATAAAATAAGACGCTCAATTATATTAAAATTAGGCTTGCCTCGGACCATATTAAGTTAAGAATGGAAACCCACCTTTACCTATTTGCACGTTCGCCTTGCCTTCATCGGCAACTCTGCATCCACGAACACGGAAGATCCCGACTTCCTTTTCCGGCATTTGCCTTTCTTTTCCTGTACTTGTTCGCCCTCTTCCTTTCTTCCTCTTCTCCTCTTCCCTCTTTGCGGCCACTAGTGGGCGAGAAGGCGATTTCGAGATGAGTTCCCGAGAGTTGCTCGAAATCGATCCCCTGGAGCTCAAATTCCCTTGTAAGCCCGATTCCCCCTTTCCCTATGTAAATTGTTGCGTTTCTTTTCTTATCCTTGAATTTTTGTGATTTGATGGGTGAAGTCGAACTGAAGAAGCAGATCTCGTGCTCGATTCAACTGACCAACAAGTCCGATGATTACGTTGGGTTCAAGGTAATCGATTTAGGTCTTCCCTGTTTCTCTTTCTCATTCGTCATCCTGCATTTCGTGAAACCCTAGAAAATTGAAATGGATTTTTTCGTGTCAAGTTTGAACCTTTGATTTGTAGAATTCGATTGGTGTGATAGGTCAAGACGACGAGCCCGAAGAAGTACTGTGTCAGACCCAATGCTGGGATCGTTCAGCCCCGATCCACATGCGATGTTATTGGTATGCTAATCTTGTCTCTGCCGTAGATTCAGGTTATCTGACAGAAAATTTGTATCTGAAAAGGCAACAATTTGCTTCAGTCACAATGCAAGCACAGCGTGAAGCTCCGCCGGACATGCAATGCAAAGACAAGTTTCTTCTCCAAAGTGTCGTGGTTAACCAAGGTGTTACAGTGAAAGACATCACGCAGGAAATGGTACTTCTTGTCTCCAGCAATCTGATATCGAACTTTTGCATGCGGTTACGTGTTATATGCAAATCCTTTTGAAAATTGATAAATATATTCGATGTTGTTCTAGTTTGCAAAGGAGTCCGGGAATGTGGTGGATGAGGTGAAGTTGCGAGTTCTCTATGTGTCACCACCTCAACCACCCTCACCAGTTCCTGAGGGATCTGACGAGGACTCATCACCCAGGCCTTCTGTTTCGGATAATGGAAATTCGAATGCCTCAGAGCTACTTGCTGTGAGTATTCGAATGATTTGTTTATGCACAGATTACCTTTAGCATGCTCTTTTGACATGGAGGATTTTGATTGTAATATGAACGTAGGCGACAAGAGCATATGCTGAAGATATTCAGCAAGGAAAATCTTCTGAGGTGGGTTTGTTATTTTCATTTTGGAGTTTTGATGAACTTACAATTAAAGCAATGGATAATGTGATGTTGGACCTTTCATCTTGAAAGATGGTTTATATGCTTTTGCTAGTAGTGTTACCTAGACTTTCCTAACAAAATAATCATTTGAGCAAACATTTTTGAAAAGCTTAATAAAAGCCATATATCATTTTTTATTATTTTATTATTTTATCAATAGTTGATATACCACTCAAATATACTAGTACTGTGTCAGTTCAGTAGGTTACATAAACCAGTATCAGACCGAAATTAAATCCTTGGTATGATATGCAAACAATCCAAAGTTGGTAATACTTTAAAGTTGAGAAAGACTAGTGTAGAAAAAAATATAATAAGACTAAATAAATGTAACAAATATATTCATTTTATCAAGCTTATGTGTGTATTGCGCATACTACTGTGTCGTCCCTCGTACACAATTTATCAATCCATCAAGGACTGGCATACCTTTCACGTGATCCATTGTTGGTTATCACATGTGATGTGTTTGGGTATCAAATTGGGCATAGGTGCATGTTGTGTTCTGTATGTAATATTAGACATGTGGAACACATTGAATACAGTTGAAGCTCTGCTGTTGAAGTTCCAACAATGTGACATCCATGGCTCAAGCATCCATGTTTTAGATCATTTGCCATTTTATTTTTCTGAGATGATGAACCGTGTTCCAAAAGGCATGTAATTTAACCCAAATGAAACTCTGTGTTCTAAAATTAAGGATGGAAAAAGGGATTAGTCATCAAAATATTTTAGGATCATATTGATCGAATTTGACGATACTAAACGAAGAATCGGGTTTAGGGTTTTCTAGTGATTTAAAAAGGCACTCGGGCACTCGCCTAGGCGCTCGGGCGAGGTGAGGCGAGGCCCAAGCACCTCGCTTCATTTCCAAGCGGCGCGCTTCAAAGAGGCGCCGCCTAGGCGCTCGCCCAAGCCCAAGCGTCGGGCGCTTCGGGCGAGCGCCTGGGTTAAACCAGGCGACCGAACCAGTGGTTTAGGTCTGGTTCGGTCTCTGATGCTTTAGTTGGTTCAATCGAACCAACTAAAGCACCAATATCAGCGCGACTTCCCCGACACTAACCCTGCTCGCCGTTCATGCTGCATGCTGCCGCTGTCGCCGCTCCCACTCCCGCTGCTGTCGCTGCCATTGTTGCCGCTCGCCGCTCTCGCTGCCGCTGCCACTATCACTGTCGCCGCTCGTCGCTCCCGCTCACGCAACCGCTGTTGCTGTCGCTGCCTCTGTCGTCGCTCACCGCTCCCGCTCTCGTTGCTCGCTGCTACCACTGTCGTCGCTCGTCGTTGCCGCTACTGCTACCGCTCCCGCTCCCGCTTTTCTCAGCACCTTCGGTCTTCCCTTACACTCTTCTCTTCTCTTTCGCTTCTCCTCTTTCGAAATCGAAAGTATACTATTAACAGTATACAATATACTATTAAAAGTATACAGTATACTGTTATACTATATACTGTATACAATATAACACTATTATTTTGATTTTAATACTATTAATTTTAATATTATTAATTTTTAGCGTCTCGGGTGTTTTTGGATCGTGGCACCTTTTGGCGCCTAACGCTTTTTAAATCACTGGGGTTTTCCAACTTTTCAAGTAATTGTTACAGTTTAGTTTCAAATTTCAATTTGAAGAGCTAGCATTTAATTTTTTAATGGCTATTATGGACATTTTCATGATGTGATTACCATTGAAGTCACCAGGAACTTGGCCGCTCGTGCAGACAGTCAAGCCAGACATGGCTAGCCTCGAGCACCTTGAACAGACTTGGCAAGTTGCCATTGACTGAGTGCCTTCCCAGCCATCACCTGAGCCTTGACGTCGCCTAGCTAGTGCCTAAGTTTCGCATGGGTGACCCATAAGCTTGCCTAGCCCAGCCTAAGCAATGATATATCTCAGGCTAACCTAGGCTTATGCTAGATGCATTAGTTGATCTGATTGGACCAAGACTTAAGATTGATCCAAATCAAAATGAAGTGGTTCAATCTAAGGAACATTGTGCTGTGTCTACCAGTTGTTTCAGTCGTTGATCAGACTAGTACATACTAGTCATTATTGGCATATTGTTTGTCGGTACCTCTGGATGTATAGGTGTTCTGAAAAGGGGCTGAAAAATGGAAAATTGGTCAAAATTCAAAAAACATTTTAGGATTTTTTTTCTCATAATTTCTTGGTATATAAATTATATTTATATAAGAACAAAATGTATCTAAGTCATAAATGACTAGAAATTCTTGATTATATGGATAACAAACTGAATAAGAATGAGAATGAGAATGAGAGTGAAAGAGGTGGAACAGATGAGGATTTAAAGGGCCAAAACAGGGCCCAAAGGTCAATTTGATTGTTGTGACCTAGTTTGACCAAAGAGGAGATCGATACGGTCGAAACCCGACCATTACTGATTCATATTGTTCGGTAAGGAAATACAATAGGCATGCTACCCCTAATAAGGTACTGCCCGTGTCAGTTGATGCATCAAACCACGGTTCAATCTCATCAGCTAGGTATAAACTCCCACTTAGCAAAAACCCAAAGGGACCCAGGCAGCCGTGTTTGTGCTCGAAACCCTACTTTGACCCTACCTTAGATGACTTTCGACCTCTTCTTCGACGGTCGTGATGTTGCCCTAATTACATCTTCGACTCCCTGTTCTCCTATGATTACGATCCAACTGCATCCGTTTGAGGTTAATCTCCATCTCTTATGCTTGTCATAGATACGACATTCGATCCAGCAACTCGGGGATGTTGCTTGAGGATGCAGTTTGCTCATCAGTGAGTAAATATATTTTTTATAATCTTTATATCAGTGAGAGGGCATTTTGGAACCTTGGTTTCTTTGAGCACTTAGCGTTTTTAACAACGTTCATGACTACTACATAAATCTTTAAATCGATATATTTGTTATTATTATGATCTTATTAAAAAGGATGACCTAATGCACATGATTTCCATCTATAAGTTGTTTAGGGATGGTCAATTTAAGCAACCTTATCCTTGCAAGCAAAAGGTTTTTTCTGTGACTGGTTACCCAGTCACCTAGATTGCCATGGAGCAACCTTACTTTGATGCTGAGGGTCACCTTTTTATATGATATTATGATATGGTACGATTTATTCTATTTATCATAAATTTGTATTTTACAGCTTCTATTAGTTATTTCATACTGTCTCGTAGTATACCCTTGTTATTTCATAATATTTAGATTATGGTACATGATATTATATTTTATGTTTTGCAACCAAACAAGCAAAACATGAAAGGCATGTTCCTATCTGCAAGCGTTGTCTATCATGGTTTCAACAATCGCAGAGGAAAATTTTCCTTGGAATGCATTATTCATGTCTCTGAGGTCAATGCAAACCCTAATCCCTCCATTGATCTGGGCACTGAAAAAATGTTTGCCAAACAATTGAGATTTGTCTCGTCAATTATAAATCCCATATCTTTTGATTTATGTACTTATTTCTCAATCTTCTTCCTGAAGAGTAGATGAGGGCATCATCATACTCATGTTTTCCATGGAAATGATGCATTGTGGAGTGTTAACTTTGAGCACAGAAATGCTAATGAGCCGGTCCTAAATCCCTCATGTCAGATGCGGGGAAACAGACGAGCTCCTCGGATCGTATCAGTCAAAACAACTGATAAAAAATTGGAAGATAATGATATTCTTGGAGGAGATTGCTTTCGGTTTCTTTATAACTTGAAATTTTGGTTAACCAACAAATTCTAATTGAGTTTATGTAGTCATGTCATGTCATGCCAAGTTGAAATATACTATTAACTTGATTCTAGGTTCACATAGTCAAGTTAATGTTCCCAGGGCAGATATAGCCTTCTACTTAAAGGGATCTTTGGTAGAAGTTGTGTGCCAACATCCTAATCTGTGAAAACATCATAGAGTCATGTATGACTGAAATCTGCATAGATCATTTTTTTTCATAGACTAATTCCTTCTAATTAATGAAGTAACCCTAACTTCAATTTATGCATAAGTTCCAACAGTGGACCTACCACTTGAGCAAGTTATCTTAACTTAAACAAGTTAGTTTGTCTTTTGGTTTTTCTGACAAACCAATCTGAGAAGCTCTGACTGTGGTGCTTTTTCTAATTATACATTTCATCTGAATGCATAAATGTTGGCCATTGTCTTTGTACTCTCTACTGTCATAATATTTCTTACTTTGAAAGTATTTCTTCTTTATGTACAGCCAAATTCAAGTTGGTGCTTTACAGTTTGCTGTCCCCATCTGATGCTTGTCTGTGGTCATGCATTTAAATACTCAGCTTTTATGTTTTACAAGAAATTTCAGACATCTGTCTATTTCAAGGAATAATTTACTTGACCTTTTCTCCTCCAGAATTTGACTCTAATTTCAAGGTTGACTGAGGACAAGAATACTGCTATTCAGCAGAACAATAAGCTTCAACAAGAATTGGTAAGCACTAGCCTGGCTAATGATGTGACAGGACTAGTAATTCTCATACTGTTAAATGAAATTTTGTAGCATGCTACATATATTATGGTGTGAGTTAGTAATGATAAAAAATGATTTTGATCACTTGGGTTCTTTTAAGAAGTTTGTACAGCATTAAGATGGAACATTCTGAACTTTTCTGTGCACCTTCAAGTTTTACTTCCTGTTTATACAATACCCATTTTTCTTGGTACTTCAAGTTTTACAAACTCGAGATTTTGTCACCCTTAGTTGCTGCTGTAATATGCCACTCATCCCATTATTTATAGTTGCATAGTTTGTCACCTTATGCACAGGTAAAATCTTTTCGGCTGACTGATTCCAGTTGCAAAGGCTAGTGGCTATTACAAAGGTTCTTGATGTCCTCCATTTCACATGTTTATGTTGAATAACAATGATAACAGATATTTTTGGATTGCTGCAACATTTCACTGAATATAGGATAACACACATTTTTAGAGAAGCTAATTGTGTTGCACATGGTTAGCAAATTTTGGTAGGTTGAACCATTGTAGTGAACTCTGGTATGATGTGTTTCCTTAGGAGAGGAGATGGGTGTCTGCTTTTTTTCTTAATAAAAGTTAATATTCTCTTTTGCAAAAAGGAAAAAGAGAAAGTAAATCACAAGTAGTTGTGGATCTTTAATCTCTCTGGTTCAGCTTGTGCAAAACCTGGTTTCACTACTATGACCTGAGAAGGCTGTGAACTGCCTGTAATCAATTTTCTAATATAATCTGAAATATATTTTGACAGTATTAGCAGTTTAATTTTATATGTGTTTGCATGTCCCAAAAAGAACTGTGCACTTTTGCAAGTTGACCTTTTCGAAATCACCTTAAAAACATGCATTTGAAAAGTCGATCCCATGTCCTGGTAATTTTTATGTATTTCCTAACGTCATTCTGTAGTATTGCCACAAAATTGATCCCTTGTCCTGACCTCACTCCTAATGAATGGCCGGAGTTATCTTTGCTCTCCTTCTGCCCTATGATCGTAATCAGATTTTGCCACAACTATGTTTCTAATATCTGAATGGATAAGATAATTAACATATTCTGTTTGTTTTGCTTGGTAACAGCCAAAGTTCAACTATAACAAGCATACACATTTGACAAAACATCTGTCTATCCTGAATTTATAAAAGAGTATACAAAGAGGTTCTTTTCATTTGTTTGTAATTATAGTAACTTGTAAGTTTAGATTTATGACCTCATTTATTATCATCATATATTAGTATCATCTGAAATGTTCTTCCTGGAAAACTTATGAGCACAAGGAACTTAGACATTCAACACTTTGGGAAACCGCATTGTCATTTACCTCCTATGTTTCAGACTGTGGGAATTGTATAACGAGTCACTTTTAGAATGGAGGGGTTGGGTAAATAAAATCCCAGTACGATGCAGATTTTTCTGAAACAACAATTCTTTGATGTCGTTGCATGCAGGAACTGGTGAGGCAAGAAGTCAGCAAGCAGCAAGGAGGGTTCTCGTTCCTGTTTGTGGTGATCATTGCCCTGCTCGGAATTTTTCTGGGGTGCGTGCTGAAGAAGTAACAATCCGGTACTCGCTTCGATTTGACTGGTAGATTCATGTTAGGATCAGTTATCAGAGAGCTAGCTCACCTAAGGTCCTGATGGGTTCTATGACTGTTCATCCGCATCTTAGTTGGTGTAACATCTATAACTGTGAGTGTGTGATTTCACTACTTGGCATCTTTTTTGTTTTGTACTTTGAATCTTTGTTGTGAGGAGCAAACGTCAATGCCATGTCAAGCTTCTCATCTTTTTTTCTGAAACTTCAACGTTTAAATCAGACAATGTGATGTGACAATAACAAGTGGTTGAATACATGTGTCATTGATTTGTGTCGTTCGTTACCTTATCGAATATGAATCACTATCGACCAAAAATACTTATTTGTATGGATGTGATTGAATTAATTGTATGAATGTGAAATTAAATCAAAGAAACATATGCTCAAAAAGATAGTGGAACTCTACTAGAGTTGGGCTGACGAGTGCCTGTGCATTTATTTAAAAGGAAGGAACCGTAATTACTGAACCTTTTCCTTCTATTCTTTAATTTTTTTAATCTTTGGTTGAACAAAAGAAATGAGTATATGGTTAATATGCTTCATCCATAGGAGCAAAAAATAAAATATCGATTAAGTATCAATCTCGAGACAATTGATAAATACCTCAATACAATCGATAGACGAGTCATCCTCTTGTGAACGTTCATCAAATTAATAGTCGGTGAGAACGAGAAGGTGGAGGATGATTGGGGTTGATGAAGCAGCATGCATCAGTGCTCAATAGAAAACCACATAGGCCATCGTTACATAGGCCTCCAACAATGTTCGGTTTTTCATCATCAGACAAAAACATATCGATAAATCAATATTTTATATTAAAAATAAAAAATAATAATTATTATTAACATTTTGATTGAGTTTCTTAATTTTCATTTTCCCTTCTTGGATTCTCTTACGTCATCAGAGAGAGAGAGAAAGAGAGAGAGAGTGCGTGTATAAGGAGATAAGATGTCATTTAAACCGTCTGATGATCCCAACTTGCCATCCAGGATCTCTTAAGATACTGAAAGAATAGGGAAGGCCAAAATTGTTCCCTTCTTCCATTTTCTTCTATCCACCACTTTGCACAAATGCACATTTTTAACGAGTTAGAAGAAAGAAGAGTCTTGGACACAAAAAGACCTGGAAAAGTAATGATCCTTGAGTAAGATATACATGACAAATTACTTGGTCTAGATAATTACAAGTGTCGGCCAAAATCAATGTTTTGCGGCATCTTTAATCATCTTGCATCGACATACAATGGCTCGGAAGTCCTTCAGACTTAGCTGCAAAATCCACAAATTGAAACATCAGCATACGAACGCAGAGGTAATTGTTATTATGACAAAGTTAAAAGCCAGTCGGAAACAATAAGACTTCCATCATAAAATTTGTTCAGCTTATGGCCCATTCTGGATAAGCTTTTATAGTGTCACTTGATCAGGAATCTAAGTGCCTTAGCAATAAGTATTCAAGCATACGAAGAATAGGTTTTCATTTGATAAAATTTTGTGAACTGAAAGGCATATAGAATATAGTTTTAACCAACATAACTTGTGCATCTTGTTGCGTAACAGCAATTAAATCTACAAAATCCTGACATTTATATCTAGGACCATAGTGACTTCATAAAAATAACATTTTTTCAAAGAAATAAAGTCATTAATACACGATGAAATGCTATAAGACCCCCAGGCAGGGCCAAGGTTGAGACCATAAATGGCCTGTGAATCTTAAACAATGTCAACTGAGCTATGGCAGTCAACCGAATCCTCCTTCGGACAGGCTAGGCCTGTCAAGCTAGCACACCAGCCCAGCCCATTGTCACCCAAATCACGACAAATGTGGTGACAAAACAAAACAACTTGGAGAAATTTTGCTACTTAGAATCCATGTTCATTTAGTATTTCATCAAATCAAGCCTATATCCAGCGGCAAGCCCCTCTCTCTTACAACAATTTAATCAGATGTTCTTTGATTTTTCACAGATGACAAACCCAAATGCTTAAGTGCACATTGGTGATCAATCAATGACATTATCAGTTCCATGTTTCCTCATTTCATCCAAAAGTTTAAAAAATCAAGTGATTTATGCATATTCATCATGTAGATGGTCTAGTTGAAAATTAATTCAAATAGTACCTTTCCATCTCCATCACTGTCAAAGCAATGGATCATATTGAAAATCTCACTCTTTGTCCAACTAAAATCATGAGCAATGGCCATTTTCTGTAGATCTTGTTGCGTGATGTAGCCTTTACCAACTTCTGCATGTTAAAACATAAAAACATGTAAACTTACAGCAAGAAAAAGAAGTAGCAAACTCATAGTTACATATGTTGGTCATCAAATCATGGATACAGATGAAAAAAAGGTGAATTCTCTAAAAGCCCCAACTTTCCAGTTTTTCTGGAGAGCACTTCCCATTCTAAAATTTCGACAAAGGGCCTGACCTTTTGCCCCTTTAAATAAATGCCCATGTACTGTACCCCTCAATTTTCCTTGCTGAAAATCCCATTCAGGACAGTCTCAGTTTGAAGCAAGGTCGCGACTAGTTTGGAAAGAGTTTTCAAAACCGATTTAAGAAGTCCAGACTGGTTTAACTAAAGGGTTAGATCTGGTTTTGTAGATTGTTACATTGATCTTCCAACTATATTACACTGATTTTGCTCAATGCAGAAGATCAATGTAACACCATTCAAGAACAGTGTTACTAAAGCCCCTATTAAACCACCTCTTAATTGATCTAGAACTCTTATAAATTAGTTTTACTAAAGTCCTACTAAATCGCTTTTAATTGATCCAGAACTCCTATAAATTAGTTTTAGGAGGATTGTGTAGTTTTCAAGTTTTTTTTAAAGCTCTAGATGGGTAATTTTAGGATGGTTTTTTTAAAAAAATTTTAAAGCTCTTAATAGCTGAAATTATGCCAATTTTATTTCCTTTACCAAATACATCCTATTTTTTGGCTTTGCTCTTATTCCATTAAAATACTTGTCAATATCCTTATAGAGAGGTGTGGAAGCCTCTTGGGTAAAGATCTTACCTTTGGTTTGAAGTTACACTGATTTACTGAAGACACAAGTAACCTCATTCAAATGTGGTTCTCCTGAATGATCTAAATCTGCCAATAATGAAGCGTCAAATGGTAGAGGACATATCTCTTAAATGATCTAAAAGAACAATATTCAATAATTAATAGGGCAAAGATCTTACCTTTGGCTCTAAGTTACACTGATTTTAAGTACAATGATTTTACTTACAACACAAGTAACCTCATTTAAATGTGGTTCTCCTGAATGATCTAAATCTGCCAATAATGAAGCCTCAAATGGTAGAGGACATATCTCCTGAATAATTTAAAAGTACAATATTCAATAATTAATACCATAAACAAGTTATCCATTAATTAAATTTAATGGCACATATACTTGCACCTTCTGATGAGATCTTCAATAACTATATTTAATTGTTTTCCAATGTCATGCATGTGTCAACCATTTCAATAAGCGTGCAGTTTTTACATGCCCTACCGACTTAAAGTGGGTTACTTTCTCACATAACCAACCTGATCAAAGAACAAATTAAGATTAATAGCAATGATATTAAAATAAAATTAAAAATTATAATTAAATGAAACTATAGTTAACCAACTCACTGCCAATAAGGTTAATAACTGTTTCAGATAACCAACTATCACTGTCTTCACGCTTCACTCGTTGAATTCTATCTCTAATAATTAAGATTTTCTCTAAAATGAAGGAATGAGGCAATTCCACCAGTTGTAGTTAGTCAAAGTCAAAAGATGAACAACTAATAACAATAACGATAATAGTGACCAAAAATGACTCAGAAAAAATAAAATACAAGCAAAAATGTATAATATATACATTCGGCAAAAATCCTCCACAACTTTATCTTGATCAACCAAGTGCAATGACATCATCAACTCTTCCAATTGAATTCGAGTTGATGCTTTCATTGAGAAATGCTTACCAAAAAGATACCTGCATGTCTTAGTTTTTAAATCAATTTGATATACTTTGTTTGTTACAAAGAGAAACATCACTGATCGAGGAAAATAAATTAAGCCCCATTGATTATAGAGTTATAATCTTCATCCCATCACTCATGATAGAAATTTCCAGGAAGCTAGGATACCAAGGATCTTGATAAAATGTTCAACAAAAGTCTGTCGCAGAATCTCCAAAGGGCATGATCTCAGGACTATAGAAATCATCTGACCTCTACTGCACCTAATTGGCATTGGAAATATGTGTCTGAAATGATCAATAAAGCTATGATTGATTACAATCCAATTTGGATAGCCTTTTTTTCTTGAAATAGGCATCAAATTGTAATGATTCAATTTTAGCAAATGATTCAAATTTATCAGCAGCTGGAATTGCAAACATGTGTTTCAAAATTAGTCAAAAAGATATTTCAAGAAGTTATTTTAATAACAAGTAAACAAGAAATTAACTATGGTTAATTCTTCAAAATTGTCATTTCTTCTCTTTCTGTCTTGAGAACTTTGGCTTTCATTTTTCAGCAAAGGAGGGTAAAGATTCAAAGAAAAGAACGATGCATGATGTTTAGGGCTTGCCGTGGCTCCATGAGGATTAAAGTTCGATATGAAGGCTTTGGCGAAGCTGAGACAGATTAAACCAGAATGGTGTTCTGAAGTGACCCTGGTTAAACCGATTTAAATCAACCATTCTAGACCCAATACACATAACAATATGCAAAACCAAATAATGTCAGTAAAAAAGTGGCAGGAAGTCATGGGGAATTTAGTATTATTAGGAAAAGTGGGGCTTTTCTATGGAATTCACTCAATAAAAAAAAAAGAGTCAAGCTCATATATAAAATTCAGAAGCCACAACAGGTATAAGATTATATTCTAAAATCAGTCATGTAAAGTATACCTATTTTTCTAAAGCTTGAATACTAACAAATATAGATGGACCAACAGAAACAACAAGCATTAAGAGAAAGTATGAACTAATACAACATTCTCACTACAGAAAGAAGAGTCAGAATAATATATGACCAGTTTAAGCAACCTTCAGATGGATGTTAATGAATACCAAAAACATTATTCACAAACATGCAACATATCGTGGAAGAATACCTACCATCAAATGAAAAGAAGTAAGCATCCACTTCATCTTCAGTTAGTTGCACTCTGCTCTTGTTCTGCAACACAAGGAAATATAGATGGCATCATGAAGATACCTGAGCTACCATAATGTTTGTCAGTATATGCAGAATAACCTACCACAATCTTGCTCTTCCTTCTCCCGGCAGGTCCATGTGCACTGGATTTATCTTTCCTATAAGGACCAAAATCAGCTACACTACTGCCAGAATTTTGAGGAATCCCACCAACAGCTTCATTTGGATCCATGTGTTCTCCCAATGAAAGAGCAATTGCCTGAATATGGAAATCTAATAAAGCTTTCGCAACAAATCTTGCCTCAAATATATTAGTTATATACTACTAATGAATGGCATATAAATTTTTTCTTAACATATACCTGCTTTAAGGCTGTATCACTGTCAGTCAAATCGTTAGGTTCTGTTTTACCTTTTTTCATAACTTTTGCTGCTTTTGAAGAACCCCTTTTCTTTCCCTGAAACAAAAAACAACAATGATAGAGATGACCAAATTCCATAACGCTACATGCCAAACAACTTACTACGGAGAATAAGCATGGGAAAAAAGGTGCACTTCATTTTTTTCTACATAGTGTTCAATTCATAGCAAATAACAGAGAAACATTTGTCAATGAACAAGGCAGACGACTAATAACTGAAGGGTGGAAGCCATGAGACAGTCTATCAACCACAGCTACCAGTGGAAGCATGACTACTAAGAACATTGAGCATTCCAGATACTCAATATGGAAGCAACGATGGGGTATGTAGCTTTAGTTGGTTCATATATGTGGTAGTACGATTAGTTGGTTCATGATATCAGGATGTGCAATGTGCTAAATCATGAGTAGTGTATAACAACAAGAGGTTTCAACAATTTCAGAACTATTCTTCTATATCATGATTTGTGCTTAATGCAATATTCTTCTATGTCAAAGGTTCTCTTCTGCTTTGCTTTTCTAACCGAAATCCTATGCCCAACAAGCAAGATCACAAGCAAGCCACTAAATTAATTTCTCTTAACACCACTTTTTGTGATAAGAGAAACTATAAGCTCCTATATTTGTTCATAGGATAACATCATACGGATTATGGTGAACATCATAAATATGAAGTTTTTTTAAATCGCTGAGAATGTGAATCACACTATCAAGTAGATAGAAAGTACTGACAGAATAAGACTTAAGCAAGTGGATTAGACGTTCACAAAGATCGCATTAATAGGTATTCCAGAAAAGCTAACATCAAAGTATAACAAATCAAGGGTGCACCTTTCCCCGCGAGACAGAAGAAGGCTTCTTTTCCGCTTGTTCCTCCTCCTCCTCTTCGCCCAAGGAAGAACTCTCCCCACCGCCTTCTCCCCCATCGTCTTGATCAGCATCAGAGGGTAAGTAATCGTCGTCATCCTCGTCGCCGACGGCTCTTCCCCGGCCTGCTCCTTTCATCGCCTTCTCCCTCCTTTCCTGGAGCTTCGAGGGAGGAGGAGGAGGGCTGAGGAGGGAGGAAGCGAGTCCCGGGATGCCGAGGGCTTCGAGCCTCGATCGGTTTTCTCGTATCCTGGAGAGCCTTTGCCGCTCGTACTCGGGCATCGGTCCGCCACGGCCTTCGTCCGCCTTCGATGCTTCTCCCATTTGGGAACAACGATGTCCGGTTAACGGTCTCCTTTGGTATTACGGAGTGGCAGAGCCGCAACGGAGAGCGGCCCAAAATTGTAGCACGGCACAAGCATTTGGGGGAGAAGGCTCTTTTGGGCCGGCCCAAATATGTCGGGTTCAATTAAGCCGTGGCCTCTTTTCTGCGTGCAGGCTCCCGAATCACACACCTTTACGGGTGTTCTTACATCTTTATGCTTGCCAAGTTCGATAATTGCATATTTGTGTTATTAATTTTACCAAGGCAGTCACAGCCACATGTATTGAAAAAAAAAAGAAAAAGATCATTTACCAGAAAAAGAAACCCTAGTAATGGGCTTTTAACATATGGTGCCCCATATTTGGTTTTTTCTAGGGGTGTTCTTTTTTTTTTTTCTAATTTTGATCAAAATATGCTCAATAAAATTATAAAATATAATAAATATATTTTGACTTAGTTTGACTTAATTTTTAAGACTTAAACTGAGTCTTTTAGATGAATCGGATCAAACTGATTCCACTAAAACCTAACTATTTGATTTGGTTCATTTGAGCCTAGATTGTCCTTTGATTTGGTTCATTATCAATTGAGGAATGGAATAGGAAAGTTCCAGCACATCGTTGTCACTTTACCTCCTCTTTATTGTTGGTTGTTGTTGTTATCGTCGCCATCAAAACATCTATGCGGAGCAATGGAGGAGGTTGGCAATGATAACTATTCCTTTCGATTGTGTCAATCTAACCCCAGTGGTTCAATGGAGCCCTAGCTTCACCATCACCAACATCCTCACTCATTGTTGTGTAATGAACGACTATTAGGCACTCAACACCTTTATCAATAGACTATTCATCATTTTTGTTTGTTTGTACATTCATTTGGTAGCGTGTTTTATCTTATTTTTGTGTATTTTTACTTCAAAACTATAAGCAAGAATAATTTACATATTTATAGAGTAACCACTCACTAGAATAGATAAAATTATCTTAAAATAGTTTAGTTTTCATATGTCATGACCTATTTTCTACATGTTAAATGTGAAGTAAAATGTCAACCATCTCAATCCCTTGGAACCACTTAAGTTCACATGTAAAGCTTATGGGGACTTGCCAATGCACCCGACACTTGATAAATAATCATTTGTGAACTTGCAACTTTTCATTTGTCTTCTAGAATTTTTATTTTTTTTTCTTTCTCTTTTTTATCTCTTGCACACTAACTATTTATTGAATTACTTATAATGCTATCCTCTTTATACGACAAAAAAACTTATTTATCACTTATTTTCTAAACTAATCAATTTGCTATTTTACAGGTCCTTGGTGACCTGAGCAAAGTTGAAATTAGGTTGACCCTTTGTGGACGAATATCATAAGGGTGCCTCATAACATATGTAATTTCTACTAAGTTTATAACATTTGGTATCAAAGCGAGCAAACGATTCAAACAAACAACAAAAGTTCGTAATCCCACCATGGTGAAGCACCGTGACGAATTGAGCAAAACATGGTAAGTTGGACCATTGCCCTATCCAGCCGCATGTGGGCTGTAAGTACAAACTTGCTCTCAAGTTTTTAGAGCTACTCAAGAGGAGTGCAGTAGTAAAAATGACGAGAGAAGTTGGCTATTTTCCACGAGAGAAACCTATCTTAATATCCTGAAAGTAGGTTTAAAGGAACTCTACCAAAGCCAAAAAAGACTTCTTAATGTAAAAAACTTACAAAAGGAGATAGAATCTCGGATCGACAAGGTAGGATTATGTTGCTTACGAGGGTTCTTCATACAGGAGGGAACAACACCCATGTTATTCTATTATAAAACTTGAGGGTGTTAGTTATATGTGCCCTATAAGTTAATTACGTGAGCAATGACATGTGTGACACGTTGCACAATATTTTTTGTTCTTATTATTATAGTATTTTAGCACTTTATATTGGATGATAAATATATTATGATATCCTTGAATCTGTGTAATGAGAATTGAATCATGATGAAATCATGATAATGAGACCAATTTGACTACCAACATAGATCCTAAGTATTTTCGGCCATAGGTTACTTGAGAAAGACATTGAGATAATCGGACAGATCGATGTACTATATACCCATCCATATGATGGAAGCAGTTGATCTTATAGCTGCTTATGTGGGGATACTAGGGATATAATGTAGGTGTTCATTGGAGAATGAGTTTATTGAATGATCCAGTCACGGAATGTTGGATGGTTAATGATACATCATCATCAAATAATAGTTTTGTAGTCCTAATTGTGTATCTGATCCTTAGACTTGAGATACCAAGGATGCGATGTATTAGTACTTCACTCTTTGATATCGAACTTATAGGTTTGAAAGTTCCAGACCTAGTACAATTGGTCATCGAGAGTGGTAGCTAAACTTACGAGAGTAATTGAGTGTTAATAGAGGATCATCCACACTTTGTGTCTTGAGAGGAATGACTCATGTGTTTTCGCTCAAGCAAATTCCTGGCCATGGTCATTTGGATTGAGAGAGAAAGAGTTCTCTAGGAGAATCCGATTAGAGCGAGGCTTGAGTAAATTCTGTATGGGTTTGATAGCACCATACCTAGTATATGGCCTTTGAGATATTAAATGGATGAGGGACTATAGATACACGATAATTGAGGGCAGACAAGTCTAATATATTATATCCTCCTGTACTATCTAGGGACTATGGTATAGTGGCATAGTACATCTATAGTCGATGAGTTGAGTGAATTATCATGAGATGATAATTCACTAAATTAGAAGGAGTTCTAACATGTGTAACTCATGGCCAGCTCGATATTGGGCCTAAAGGGTCACAAACATATGAGGGATGATGTAACAAATAAATAATTAAATATATAACATCCAATAAGTCCATATTTTATTGGATCCGTTGGGTGAGACCCAATAAGAGCTTAAAGTAGATAATTGGATAGAGATTCAATTTTCATTAAACCAGAGATAATTGGATGGAGATCCAATATTCAATATGTTAGGGTAATTGGATAGGAATCTAATACCTAATAGGGCATGATCCATTAGGATAGCAGTATGAGCTCTCTATAAAAATGGAAGTGAGACTAAAAGGGTTATAAGGCTGGACCCCTTTATTGGGAAATCTTGGGGCGACATCACATACGCAGCGGAAGAACAAGAAAAATAAAATCCCCTATTCCCAAAGAGATGTTCGTCGTCGTGCAAAGATTGGTGCGTAAAATTCGCGAAACTTAAAACTACATATAGAATAGATTGTGTTACCTAGGGAGATCGTATATCCATGTTTCCTTACAGATCTTTAGGAGAGGGTGAAGGAGGTCAAGTATCCTCCTCTCTAGCGGTGATCCAGGCTCCTTAAAACTCCAAGCCTGCTTTGAGGTGGAGAGGGGAAGGAGAATAGGAGAGGCAAGCAAAGGCTCTAGCCTATGAGGCTCTGAATCCCTCCTATTTATAGAGGTCCCTTGTTAAACCATAATGGATCCTCCCCTAGTGGGTATTGGATCTGCATCCAATAACCCAAGTCTTTTAGATTACTGGATCTCTATCCAATAATCTCTCATGCGCTCTTATTGGATCTCGTCCATGGGATCCAATAATTCAAGGGCTTATTGGATATCCAATAAGACAAGGGCTCCGTCGGATATCTCATATCCGAACCTCTACTCATCGCAATGCCTACCATATGTGTGTGACCCTCTAGGCCCAATATCAAGCTGGCTGTGAGTCATACCTGTCAGAACTCCTTCTAACTCAGTGAATTATTATCTCTGTAATAATTCACCCGACTCATCGACTACGGATGTACTAGGCCACTACGTCGTAGTCCCCAGACGATACAGGGGAATCCAATCCATTGGACCTGTCTGTCCTCAGTTACCGTGTACCTATAGTTCCTCATTCATCTAATATCCCAAAGACCGTATATCGAGCATGGTGCTGTCAGACCCATACGGTTTCTACTCGAGTCTCGCTCTAATCATATTCTCCCGGAGAACTCTTTCTCTCTCAACCCGAATGACCCTAGCTAGGGATTTGTCTGAGCAAGAACACATGAGATATTTTTCTCATGACATCGAGAGTGGATGATCCTTTATCGACACTCAATAGCCCTCGTAAGGTCGACTACCACTCCCAATGACTAGCTATACTAGATTTGGGACAGCCAAACCTATAAGTCTGGTATCAAAGAATGGAGCACTCATACAGAACATCCTTGGTGTCTCAAGTCTAAGGACCAGATATACCACTAGGACTACGAAATCGCTGTCTGACAATAAGGCATCATCAACCATCCAGCATTCCGTAAGCGGATCAATCAATGAACTCATTCTCCAATGAGCACATGTATTGTATCCCTAGTGTCCCTACACGAGTAGCTATGAGATCAGTTACATCCATCATATGGACGGGTATACAGCACACCAGTCTGTCCGGTTATCACGATGTCCCTCTCGAGTAACCTATGACCGGGGTTATTTAGGATCTGTGTTTAAAGGTGAATCGATCTCATTATCGTGATCTCATCACGATCCGATTCCCATTGCACAAATCCAAGGATATATATATATATATATATATATATATATATATATATATATATATATATATATATATATATATATATATATATATATATATATATATATATATATATATATATATAATAATAATAATATATA